GGTAGGAATACGTGCGAGATCCTGGGTTTGATCCCCAGCTCAAGAGGGCGGGAGGCTGGGACTATTGGATGATTTTGCCATACGGCTGTCCATTTATACTTCACAAGAGCAATGCACAAGGATTGATTTGACATCACCCTTGCCAACATTTGTTATTGTCTGTCTTTCCCAGCACAGTCATCTCAGTGGGCGTGAAATGGTATCTCTGTAGCACTGCAGTGTGTATTTCCCCAGTAGCTTGTAATGGCGAGTATCTTCTCTTCTCCCTCTCTCTGTTTTGTTTGCTTTGTTTTTTGTTGTGGCATGCAGTCTCAAGCAGTCCATAGTCCAGGCTGGGCTTGAACTCTTACATAGCTGAAGATGACCTTGAGTTCCTGCTCCTCTTGCCTCCCCCTATGACAGGTGTGTTGCCTGCCACCACAGCCAGTTGTGAGCATCTTTTCATGTGTCTGCTCCCAAACTGGGATCTGACTCATGAGCCAGGGCTTGGCAAAGCACTGTTGATGAAGGGCCAGATGACAGCTCTTAGGGGCTCTGAGGGCTGCACTTAATTTCTCTAGCATATTCTGTTTGCTTTGAATTTTACAAATCTTAGAAAACCCATAGGGCCATTTTTTGGTGTCATTGTATACAAACAGCCAAGGCTGGGTTCGAACTTGGGCTTCATGTTGTCAGCCTCACACTAAGTCAAGCCTTATAGCATCAGCCATAAGAAAGTTTCAGGACACCCCCCCACACACACACACACACACTCATGGCTTCTGGCAGAGCAGACTCAGTAGGAAGACAATGTTGCCTCTAGGGAGCTAGGATTCCAGAATGGCCTCATCCTAGCCCCACCATGACTCATTGCCTGCTGAGCTCATCAGAGGGATGATTCCAACATGTCACCTGGGGTGTGGCTAAGGACCTGGAACCATGAATGGTCTGCCCCACCCACTCCCTGACTGCAGCATCAAGACCCTCCTACCTACTGCTCCTGCCAGACCCTCTCATACGTCTCATACACTGGTCACCTGTGTCCAGTTGTGGGTTTATTCCTGGCCCTTACCCTGCCACCAACCATCCTTGACACCTTCTTCAGTGTCTCTTGACTGACCCATCCTGCCTCTCCCCTTGACACCACTGTTCCCGAGGGCTGTGATGGAAAGAGTGAGAACTTTAGAGGCTCTGTAGCCAGTTTTGACTCATATGCCAATTTGAATCTTTATGGCTGCTTGGCTTTAGGCTGGTTACTTCTCCCTCCTGGCTGTGACAGTTTTGTGAATAAGGATTCCAACAGTCCTACAGCAGATGCTATGGCCACTCTGTCCTACTCCTAGCAGAATCATCTGCTTTGCAGTCTGCTTGCCATGGACACCATGACTGTACCTGTATGTTTGTGGCCCTGAGACCATCTTGGCTTAGGCTCCAGAAAGACATAAGTGTTAGACTAAAGGGAACATGTGGACCTATAGCCCCTGCTCCCTGAATTGCAGGCAAGTCTGCCGGTGTTTAGAGCCCCTAGCAGGATTCAATTTCTGCTACCCACATAGACAGCATTGCCAGGTGCCCATCAGGGTAGAAGGTGCCCCATTTACTGGCTCCCCCACCCCAAGGCCTTAAAGTTTTGGGTTTTAATTTTGTTTTTAATGTACAGAGACAAGAGTGATCTGTTTGTTTCACTGGGAGATGATCTGGAATGAGCCTTTCAAGGTCACTTAAGTCTACTTTAATGAAGCCCATGCCCTTCTAGATCAGACTGGCGTTGAGAGCAGATGCAGCAATAGTGAGAGCGCTGACCCAACTTCCATGGGTGGCTCCAGTGGAGCTGCTAGTGACCCATCTTGCCTTCAGATGGCCAACAAGGAAAAAGGCCTTCCCATCTCTCTCACTCTTCCCATCAATGTTTCCTGTCATCGCTTTGCCAATCATAAGTTATTTGAACTCAGTCCCTTGACTGAGAGTCTGTTTGGAGGATACTCTAACCTGGGCCAAGAGTCCAGTTCCTAGGGTCTTATAACTCAACCAGACAGTGCTCATCAGAACCTAGCTAGCAGTGTGCCTACTCCTGTCATGTGCTAACTGAATGTTAGCCCTTGTCACAGCCTTGGCACCTTGTCTGAACACTGTCTCTGAAGGAGGTGCCCTGATGGCACAACAAACTCTGTCAGTACCATGGCCAGGTCACTGAAGGTAAGGCTCAGTCTCTGAAGCTAGTTTGCTCAGGCACTGACGATAGTCCCGCTTGCCTCTGGCTCCCATCCTCTGTCTCTATGGCAGTGGTTCTCAACCTTCCTAATGCTGTGATCCTTTTAATACAGTTCGTCATATCGTGGTGATGCCCCCCACCATAAATTTATTTTTGTTGTTACTGCAAAACTGTAAATTTGCTGCTATTATGAGTTGTAAATATTGGATCCCCCGCCCCCCCCCCCACTGGAGCTCACTGACTCAACTAGTGTTAGCTGGCCAGCAATCCCCAAAGATCCTCTTGTCTCCACCTCCAGCATTGGGATTATAGGCACATACCACCGTGCATGCTTGCCCAGCAAGCATTTTATTGGATGAGCCATCTCATGGCAGACCCATGGTCTCTGGCTCCCAAATGAGTGCTTGGATTGCAGACATGTGGCACCACAGCCAGCCATGTTTTGCATATTTTATATGAGGGTTGGCCATGACCATGCTGGCCACATATATTAATGACAGCTATTTCTAGGTTGTAGGCTTTTTCCCCCCTTCCTCTTTGTGCTTTTCAGTATGGTTTCAATTTTTTTAATGAGTGAACATCATCTTTACAGAAATAATTAAGTAATTCTCCTTTCAAACATAATAGCTTGCAGCTGGCCAACAAAAGGATTACGGGAGCGTCCACCGTGCACAAGTTGAGTCTGTGGGATGACCTGAGGATGGATTGTCTTGGTGATTCTCATTGAGTGGTGAAACTTTTCAGTGATTTATGAGTCTTTTGACAAGGACATGGTTTTCTAGTGCACATTGAATCCTCGGAGTCCAGCACTCAGACAAAGATCAGCAGCAGAGATCAGGGAAAGCATTAGTGACAGGTCCAGAGAATCCTGCATAGACCTGGATGTCACATCTTGTCATTAAAATAATGGAGTTAGGGACACACTCATGGCCACCCTCTTCACCAACACAACCAATTTACTGGTCACTGGGGTGCTCATCCCCAGCAGAACTTGCCACGCTTCGTCCATCCTCAGAATGCGAAGTCTGCAGACATTGCAGGTTCTCTTCCACCCACTGCGCTATGTACATGCCGCCTTCCCTTCTGTAGCCCAGTGTCAGCCTCCAAGGAGAGCTGGGGAGAACCTCGTGCTCCAGCACAGAGCTCTAGGGGGTGGGAGAAGAGACAGAGAGAGGTGGGGCCTGAACTAGAGTGAAGAAAGAAGGAACGATGAGCATGCTCAAGGTTTCGGGTGGGAGGGTGTTAAAAAAAAAGCCACAGGGAGATGGGTATGATGGCACACACCTGTAATCCCAGTTGTTGAAAGATGGAGGCACGAAGATAAGCAGTTGGAGGTTAACTTGGACTGCATAGCCAGTTCAGGCCACCCTGGGTTGCTTGACACCCTTCCTCAACAAAACAAAAAATACCCCATAGGTACAAGTGATGCAGGTGGCAACAGGGAATCAACCAGCAAGTAGGCAATACCAAGAAAGCATGAAAAGGATGGATGGCGCATACCGCTTGTATTCCTGTGGGTTGTAAGTGTTCGAAAGAGACAAGTGTTGAGTTTTATTCATGTTAGATGTTCTGTCTGGAAAGTGTGTGTGTGTGTGTGTGTGAGTGGAGAGAGAGAGAGAGAGAGAGAGAGAGAGAGAGAGAGAGAGACTTGATAAAGGAAAAGAACTTTGTGGGTCCCACTGAAGCTGGAGTTATTTCTCTAATACCTCCCACATTCTAATTCTTGTATGTGGGACCTAGGGCCCTTCAGGTGAAATAATTCCTAAAATGAACCATCCTCATCCTGGTTCCATCCATGTCCTGTTGGATTTTCGATGTGTCCCCACAAATACTTCCATTTCAGCCCAGATCCTAAAATCATTTTGTAATTCTTAACTCATAAATGGCACAGGAAGACCCTAGTAGCCTTCAAATTGAGCTTCAGTTGTCAGTAAGGGCCCCTCCTTTTCTTTTTTCCCCTTTCCTCATTCAGTCTTTGGCTCAGAGATTGTGGCATGTCACCCCATCTGCTGCTGGCACGGGGTGCAGTGACTCTAAGATTAGGCTTTCCCCTAGGAGCAAGGAGTTTAGCAGTAAGTGATAAAGCTTGTTCTGTTGAGAGTCCCAGCAAGCAGTGCAGCGCAGAGCCAGGCAGGCAGCCATGGGGAGGGGAGCGCTTGTCTTGGACCTCCGCCCTTCACGGCCTCTGTTTCCATGATGTCAGAGAGGCGGAACTAACGGGTGCCTCAAATCCAGGAGGGCGCAGCCCCTGCCCTGCATTCGGGTTTGGAAAGCTGCATAGACGGAGGTGAGCATGCATCTGTCTTCCTCACCTGGTTTCCTTGGGCCATCCTGAACTCAGTCCCCACCTGCTGGAGCTGAGTTCTGGCTTTCATCCTAACCATCCTATTCTTTGTCTGAATGCCACTTGCCAAGAGACCTCATAGGATCTGCACAGGCACAAACACTGCTCATAGAAAATCTTCTGTGGGCCGGGAACATCCCCGTTCTTACTGTGCTTGGCGACTTGGGGACTGAGTTTGGCAGAAGACACAATCTAAAAGAGCCCTCTCCTAATTCCTTTTTATGTGTCATCGGGAACAGGGTGGGAAATTGCTATTCCGGCATTCGGAGCCTGCCTGTCTGCAGACGCACCCTTGACCTTGGATGGAGCCTGTTTCTTTCTTCATGCATCCATTTCCTTTTGGGGAAGAGCCCAGTTCAGGTTGACAACTTCTCAGGGCCTTCTCACCCCAGCCAGCGAGGTTCTCTGATCATCTTGAGTCTTTTGCTAAATTGGTGATGTACTCCCATCTCTCTCTCCACCCAGAAAAAGATTTACAAATACAAGAAGGTCCTGAGTAACCCAAGCCGCTGGGAGGTTGTCTTGAAGGAGATTCGGACACTGGTGGATATGGCCCTCACGTCCCCACTGCAAGATGACTCCATCAATCAGGCCCCATTGGAAATCGTCTCAAAACTGCTCTCGGAGGTAAGATGCACCCCCGGCTTGGCGTGCCCCCCCTCCACCTTATTTGTCTCTCCTTCATCTCCATCTTGTTCTCAGCCCCTTCTGAGTGAGCAGGAAAGATCAATCCATGGTGTGACATCCCCCTGTGGTTACTAAGGAAGCCAGGGTTTCCCACCAAGCCTTGAGGACATTGAGAGTCAGGCTTGCTGGCTCCAGTCACCTCTAGCTTGTCTGGAGCTATGGGGTGACTGTCGCCTCTGCTAAGTCCTAGGTCAGACCCAAGATTTGGATGGTGGCTCTGATAGCAGAGCTACCATGGAAAAGTGCCTACTACTTTGAGGTCCTCTAAAACCCTTGACCAGTGGTTCTCAACCTTTCTAATTCTGCAACACGGTAATATAGTTCTTCATGTTGTGGTGACTCCCCCCCCCAACACAGAATTATTTTCATTCCTACTTCATAACTAATTCTGCTACTGTTATGAATTCTAATGCAAATATCTGTTTTCCAATGGTCTTAGGTGACCCCTATGAAAGGGCCCTTTGGTTCCCCCAAAGGGGTCACAACCTACAGATTGAGAGCCACTGCCCTAGATGAAACTTTCCATCCTGCTTTGTCCAAAAGTATCTCATTCTGGTTTTATCCAGCCCTTGTTAGTGTTCTGTCTCATTCACCCCCAGCTGTCCACAGATAGGCATTGTTTGCCTCTCTGGAGGTTTTAAAAACCAGACTTCTTGGATATGATGCAGGTGGTGGCAGGAAATCGTCATACATATATGAAATTGTCAAACAATAAAACAAGGCAAAAAAAAAGTAAAAAATAATCAGACTTCAGCACAATGGCCATTTCCAGGTTCTCTTTAAAGATGGAAAATCTAGCTACATTAGGCAGCTACTGTTACTCAGCATCCTGTTCCGGACTGGCCAGCGCTGTCCACTTTGCCAGGCAGCCCTGTGCTAGAGTGCATGCCAACTGCCAGGCACAGCTCTGTACAGGGAGTAACACTGAGCCCCCCTGCCCTTCCAACCCATGTTCCGTCAGGGGTGCAGTGGTCATGGAGAGGCATCATCAGTCAGCCCCAAGAGGGTTGGGGGAGTATTCCCAAACACACTGCAACCCACTGGGATCTGTACACTGCCTCAGCACTGTTTCCTGCACTCTGCAAATAGCCACGCTGCTCTCGTTTATGCGCCTGCCTGGCCCCTGGGGATGCCAGGGTTGCTGGCTCCCTATTTAAAATAGTTGCCACCTGAGTGATCTCTCTCTCTCTCTCTCTCTCTCTCTCTCTCTCTCTCTCTCTGGAGAATGTCATCCCCTGTGTCCCAGTGCACACTCCCTTCAAACTCCTGAATACTCCATCAGCCTTTCTCTGCTGTCTTAGGCTGGCCTCCACCTTGTAGCCCAGGAACTCGGGTCCTCTATGATGCACAATTGTTGAGGGTCCCTCCTTGGATGAGCTGGGTGAGGTAGAAAGTGGTGGCAGTGGCAGAAAGACGGGTGGGTAGATACAAGAGTGGGAGAGAGCTTCCTTCTCAGCCTCCAGCCCAGAGTTCAGGCTTCTAACCCAGAGGGAGGGAAAGAGGCTCACCTTTTAGAAGCCAGGCAAATGGGTTTCCAGTCGTGTATTAGTGATTTTACAGTTAATTTGACAAAAGCAACATAAAGGAGGGTTTATTTTGGATCAAAGTTCGAAGGTACAGTCGTCTGTCATGGTGAGGAAGGCATGGCAGCAGGAGCTGGAGGCAGCTGGATACATAGCACCCACAGTCAGGAAGCAGAGAGAGGTGAACGCTGATGCTCAGCTCACTTCCTCCTTTTTATTCAGTCCAGGACCCCAGAGATGGTGCTGCCCATGTAGGGTGGGTCTTTCTACCTCCAGTAACCCAAATTAGAAACTCTCATAGACATGTGCAGATTTTCGTTTCCATGGTGATTCTAAATCTTAGCAAGTTGATGTTGGTCAGTAAGGACACTGAGCTACACAGCTGACTAGGGACCACCCTCAGGTCCACCCAGCGGTCAGGCTGGCATCCTATGTAGGAGCTGGGTGGTAAGGTGGGGCACACCTGTAACATCAGCCCTTGGGAGGTGGAGGCCAAAGGTCCAGAGTTCAGTTTCACCCTTGGAGACATACTGCATTCCAGGCTGGTCTGGGTGACCTGAGACTCTGTTTCAAAAGCAAACAAACAAAAAGCAAAACAAAACAGAAAACGATGCCTGAAGTGATGGCTCAGTGATTAAGATCACTTGTTGCCCTGCAGGGAGCCCAGGTTCAGTTCCCAGCCACTACAAGCAAGCTAACAACTGTGTACATACATACATGGAGGCGAAACACTGATAAACATAAAATAAATTTATCTTAAGAAAAAAAAAAAAAAACCAAGCCTACAAAGCTACAAAGTAGAGATCTTCCCTGTCCAGTGAACATGCTGTGCACACCTGGGGCTTCTCAGATAGCTCTTTGGGTGCCCACACAGTCCAACTTAGGGAACTGTCCCAGGGTTGAATGCTATAACTCTGTACAGAAATAAAAGCTTTGGGTTCAGGCCAGACAGAGAGAGGTTCAGATTCCTACTACGCCACTGTTTCCTTGTGCATCAGATCAGCGGCTGCACTGTGATAAGCCCCAGGTAACTCACTAGTCAGCCGGTAGTTTTTAAAAAAGCCTGTCGTCATACAGCAAAGGCTGGTGAGATAGCTGGGAAGAATAAAGGCCTTTGGCGCCTGATGACCTATGTTCAGTTCCCAGAGTCTACCTGGCAGAAAGAGGAAGTTGTCTTCTGTCCCCCACCTTACTTGGTGTCATGATATTTGTGCATATACACATACGAAATAAGTAAGTGTGATACAGAAGGTTTCCAAAGTCAAAGTCAAACAGAATCCATGGACTAAGCAGAAAACTCATTGCCTCCGTAAGGGAAGAGCAGAGCTGGCTTTCCTTTCATCTGCTGTGACCTCAGAGTGACTAGTGTTTTTACCAGTCCACTAGAAACAGGCTTCATGGAAGGATAAAGATATTACAGTCAGAGAAACACCTCTCTGCTTGTCCTAGACACTTAAGATGGTGGGTGGCCCTTCTTGGTGCTTAGACACTGGCCCTTGTCTCAGCCTTCTGTACCCCAGGTTGCTGGGGCAAAGGCAGCTGACCGGCTCAGTGGCTTTCTTTGGCCTCCGCTGGTGCAGACCTGCTAGATGCCCCTACTACCACCGGTCTGTTGTGCTGGTAGGGGCAAGGGCCCTGCATCATGCCGGCCCTAAGCTCCAAATGTGACTGTTAAGAAATGCAAGTGGACACCGGTGTGACAATCCGTGTCTTCAGAAGAGACACAGTAGACTGGCACGAAAGAGAAGAGCAGGCACTTTAATTTTCCATGATTCCTACCATTTCTTCACATACTCTCAGGAAGGCAGCACAGTCAGTTTGCAATACAGTCAGTTAAACAGATTCCAGATCCAGGAGGGGAAAAAAACAAAACAAAACAAAGCAGGGCTATTAACCTAGTTTTGTTTTAGACCTCTATTGCTCAAATGTGTGCTTAGCTGGAACATCTTGGGGGCACTCGTGGTACAACAGTGTTCCTCCGGAGCCTACTTTGAGAACCACTGGAATAACATAATTGATCTAAAATGAAAGGTGTACCCAGCGCCAAGTTGGAGACTAGCAAAAGGTCTGTTTTCTTCCTTATGTGTTGTGAACCCACCCTCTGGTTCTAAGCAGTGTTATCACCAAGGCTGAATCCTCAGACCACAGACCTGTGAGATGCAAGTATCAGGACCCCCATACTGAGTCTCAGCAAGACATGAGTCACTGGGGTGGGGAGCTCAGTTTCCCCTTTACCTGCTGTTCTAGTTTCCTTGCTGTTGCTGAGATAAAACGTCCTGACCAAAAGTAACTTGGGAAGTGAAAGGGTTTCAGTCAGTCATTGAGGGAAGTCAGGGCAGGAACTCAAGAACTTGAAGCAGAAACCGCAGAGGAGCTCCGCTTGCTGGCTAACTCAGGCTTGTGCTCAGCTGGCTTTCTTTCTTATACAGCCTAGAACCTGTATAAGAATCTGGGCAGGGCATGGTGCAGCTCACAGTGGGCTGTGCCCTCCTCCATCAGTCAGCAATTAGATTGAGACGGCCTCTACAGACATGCCCACAGGCCAACCTGAGCTGTGTTAAATTGCCAATTTAAGATAACTAGGATAACTTCCCTGCCCTGTCCCAGAGTTGGCCTGATATGTTGAGTGAAGAAGTGATTGGGGGTGAGGGGTGGGGGCACTGAATATATTTTTGCCGTGCTAAGGATCCTTGGGATCAAATGCCCGTTTTTGTTGATTGTGCTTTCCTTCTTTCTCGATCCCTTAGAACACAAACCTGACCACTCAGGAGCACGAGAGCATCATTGTGGTAAGTAGCCTGCCAGTCTCTCTCCCATCCCCCATCCCTCTGAAGCCCAGTCTGAGGTCCCTCCTAAAGCACCAGGCTGCAGCACAGCCCCAGCCCTTGACGGGTCACTTTGCCTCAGTATGTAGTGCAGAGCACAGATAACTGGAAATGGCTGTGGTGGTCAGTCTTTGGGGTTCACTGCAAGTAGCTCTCTGTCACCCTCATTCCCAAGTCTCCAGGGGGTATGAATTTCCCTTACAGCCATCACCCTGTTACTGGCCAGGTCAACCCGATCTTTCTTGCCCTGGTTATGTTCCCTAATTAATTCATCATTAAACTCCTCTAGTACATTCAGTAATTTTGAATTCTGAGAATTCAGCAGTGTCCTAAGCACCTTCGGGTAAGATGTTTTCCTGGGCCATTTTAAGCTCTGAGATACTGTCATGAAAAAAAAAGAAAAAGGGGATTGCACCTATAGCATGTATGTCCTGCTCTGTTACCTGAGTCCACAAATGGTAGGAACAACCCACCATCACATTCATCTGTTGTAGAAAGACAAATGTGACTGCTGCAGAATAGAGGTATATAGCGTGGAGAGTGGAGTGGCAGAATCCAGGAGAGAGAGCCAGAAAGTTTCCCAGGACAGTGACATCTGAGCTGGTCTTTGAAGCATCAATAGGAGTTTGCCAAAGGTGCAGAGGTTAAAGAACATGGAGCACTGTGGAGGCTTCGGCATTGCTAGAGCAGGAAGTTGGGAAACAGGACTAGAATTGGAAGTGAAGCAGAACACTGTTCTGGAAAGAACAGGGTGAGCCTCTGAGGAGGGGCTGCAGCCTCGGGAGTAACATGCCAGCCCCAATGCCCCCTTGGGCTCATGCAGCTAAGCCAGGCTTGTGTGCACACCAGGAGGTGAGCTGCTGTCCTTTCACTAGCTCTGTGGGATCAGTTGCACGTTTCCCCTGGTCTATCACCTGATGCTTAGCTGGTGCACCTGCCTTTGGCTGCTCTTGACAGAATGAGGTAAGCCAGCCTGGTTCCCTCCACCCGCCTTCCAGCACCTAGAGGGAGGATGAAACTCTGGCACTCATAAAAGCTTTAGGGAGAAGCTTATTCTGGGGAACCTGGCTAGAATGGCCACATTAAGGCCTCTCCTTACCCCTTCCCCTCCCCGTCTCCAGTCTGTACGTGAGCCTACTGCATCCATCCTCTCACTGCCACAGCCACCATCATGAGGGCTTAACATCCTTACCACATCTCCTGGAGCCTCCTCCAGCGCAGAGTTTTGTCCTCATAGTTGGTCTATTGAGAGTCGGTCCCCTATAGCAGCGCTTGGTCCTTGTCTGTGTATATACTTTTCCAGCAGAACTTGAGTTAGCTTTTTTTATTTCACCAACCAGATCCCCAAGCTAAAAAACCCATCAGTGGCTACCATTTGGGTGTCAGCAGAGGCACCAGGCTAGCACACACATCCTGCACTGGCCTGCTCTCCATGATGGTGAAGAAGGCAGATTTAATGCTAACACAGGTTCAAGCTCAGAGCATCTAGACATGAAGATCTTTAAAAAAATTTTTTTTAATTATTACTTGATGTGTGTGGGTGTTTTGCCTGTGTGTATTTATGTGTGTGGGTGTTTTGCCTGCATGTATGTCTGTGTACCATGTGACGGCTGTGCCCATGGAAGTTAGGAGAACCCATTGGATCCCCTAGAAGTGTAGTTACAGATTGTTGCGAGCCACACTGTTGTTGCTGGGAACTGAACCCTGTCCTCTTAAGAGCAGCCATCTCTGCCGCCTGCATGAAAAAATTTTAGTGTTATTAAAAACAGTTGTTGTCCTTGAGCTAGACCTTATCGGTTCTCAACCTGTGGGTTGTGACCCTTTGGGTGGGTTGAACAACCCTTTCATGGGGCTGCATATCAGATATCCTGCATATCATATATTTGCGTTACAATTCATAACAGTAGCAAAATTACAGTTATGAAGTAGCAACGAAATGATTTTATGGTTGGGGGTCACCACAACAAGAGGAACTATATTAAAGGGTCACAGTATTAGGAAGGCTGAGAACCACTGGGCTAAAGTGATGGCTCAGCAGTTAAAAGCACTTGTTACTCTTTCAGAGGACCCAATTTCAATTCCCAGCACCCGTGCTGGCTCACAATCACCCAGAACTCCAGGCACTCACATGGTGCACATTCATACATGCCTGGGACACTTAGCTAGCATGTGCAAGGTCCTTGGTTCAATTCCCAGCATCACCAAAAAAACAGAAAGGGAAAAAATGTTCAAGATAGTTAAAAAAAAAAAAAGTCACCCTCGGGACCTGTGGGTGACTTGAGGACCCCTGAGGATATCAAACTCTACAAGTGTCTAAGTCTCTGATGGAAGATGGGATGGCATTGACTCATAACCTCTACACATCCTCCTGTGTGTGTTACCTCATCTCTAGATTTTAGACCATCTGCTACAATGTGAACAGGAGCCAGTTGCCCTGTGGTAGTATCTCAGGAACAATGGCAGATGTAGTCTACTTTCTGTCCAGACACAGGTTTTTTTTGTTTGTTTGTTTTTTTGTTTTTCTCCAAATAATTTGGATTGTGGTTGTTGAAAACACAGGTGAGGAGCCCGCTGATAGAGGGCTGACTTAGTTTTGATATTGCTAGTATTTCATTGTGCTGTTGTTGTTGTTGTTATTAAGAAGGTTTTGAGCCAAGCCTAGTAGCACAGGTGTATTTTCCTAGCTACTTAGGAGACTGAGGACAGAAGGATCACGAGTTCAAAGCCTGCTTGGGCTACATAATGAGTTCAAGGCCAGGCTGGCCGACTTAATGAGGCTTTTCTGGAAATAAAAAATAAAAAGGGGCTCAGCGGTAGAGCCCCAGCCAGTGAGGGGCTGGGCGTGCGGCTCAGTGGCAGAGTACTCCCCTCCTACTAATGTGTGTGAAGGCCTAGATTCTCTATACTTAGAGCTAAAAAAAAAAAAAAAGAGGGGAAGATGGTCTTGCCGTCTCCCATCACCATCTTCAGAGGCTGCTTACCCGCAGTAACAGCTTCTTCATGAGTGCAGTGTGACAAGGGACGTGTTCCTCATCTGTCACCCCACCTGTCAATGTTGCCTGGAGATCCTTTCAGGCCTTTCTGTAAATTTCTTGAGCAAATGCATCTCCCTCTGCGTGATATCTGCAGAGGGAAATTCCTCATTTTGAAGGCACCCTGGGCATTGTCAGAGTGTGACAATCCTTCCTCTCTGGCCTTCACTCTCGAGGGCCTTTGGAACAGGAATATCTCAGAGTGTACCAGGCACCCCTTAGGACCAATTCACCCTCATGAGACGACTTACTTTATAAAGATGCCCCTAGCAGGCGTGTCCAACTTTTGACATCATGGCTCAGCATTGTCATCTGCAAAATTCATGCTTAGGAGCCGTGTGTTGAGTTACCAAAATAATTACTAAAAAACCTTGATGTTTTGAATTTTCATACTGTGTGTGTGCATGGCGTGTGTGGGGTAGAGGGGAGCTGTGTGCCGTGGTGTATGTGTGGAGGTCAGCAGCAGGCAGGCAACTCTGTGGAGCTGGTTCAATTGTCCCTTCTATGTGGGTTCCTGAGGCCAAACTCAGGTGATGAAGCTTGCACAGCAATCCCTTAACCCTCTAAGCATAATACAGTGTTTCTTATTGGCGATTTTGTGAACTGCCTTCATGGCGATCTAAGGGCTGCAAGTTGGACATGCTTGTTCTTTTTATTTAACCGCTGTCCTTTCCGGTCCAGTGGCTTCAGGGCTCAGACTCTGTAAAATGCCAGTTGGTGCCTTTCTTATAGCTGCTCAGGACTCTCTGAGCCATCATACCCAACGTGCCGAGCAGAGGGCTTGGCTTCTAGAATGATTCCACAAAAATGGGAGCTTGCTTGTATATCAATATGTTTAAATATAGTCATCACTTTATGACCAGCCAAGACCTGGCGAACTCCCTGACCCTCCTTCTCTTTATCTGTACCCGTGGGCTACGGATTAGGTGAGGGCATGGCTTGGACATGGCACTTGACAGCAGCTGTCAGTGCTAAACAGTTACAGTGCCCCCATCCCACACTGTAACTCACTTCCATTAGGAAGGAAGGAGGCCTGGCATGATGGGACTAGAAGGAACCAACCCAAGGGGACCACACCCTGGCCTGTACTGGTACTCGAGTAGAGCATGGGTAATGCCTCATGGGCAGAGAAGGGGCCTCCCATCCTGTTGCTGTCACTGTGATCTGAAGCCTCCCTTTGTTGAACCAGCAGAGCTGTGCTGAGTTGTCTGGCCCTGGGATGAAGAGTGGGGCATTGTCTGCTTCCAGGAGGCAAAGGAAAGGCAGTGTGTAACTGAGGCACTGGCCAGGCTCTGGTCAGGTCACAGGGAGGCCTACTGATGTCTTCCATATCATGCAGTCCCTCGTTGCCCAGTCTCTCCTTCAACATAGTAATTGTCCCCATACTTGGGTCTGTTCCGTGGTGAAGAGTGGAGCTGTCTATACCTAGAATGAACAGTAACTCACACGTGAGGTCGCCTCATTGGCTCCGAGTCCCTGGTTCTGCTGCTTGCCAACTGTGCACCCTGGGCCTGTGCCTTCACCTCTCCGAACTCAGTCTTCATTCTCAGTGAATAGACAAGCCACACAATTCCAGTCACACAGAGGCTGGTGTAGGGCACTGAAGACCACCATTGTAAATTCTGGAACTCTGTTATCTGCATGGCAGTTGCTCCATGTTGGGGTGGGACAGTGAGAGGTGAGCCTTGCCCTTCGATGGGCTCGGGACCCCTGACCTGAGTTACCTGGTACTGCCCAGCAGCAGACCCAGAATGGAGCCAGAGTGACAAGATGATGATCTTTTTTTTTTCTCCCCCAAATCATTCATATTATGTCATTTGAAATGGAAGGTGTCACCTGGGGCTGGTGACTACTATGATGGATAGTCTAGGACTGACAAAAGAGGCCTGTTAGTCTGAGTGGTTGCAGCTTCATCTCAGAGGACTTCCCACT